CTGGCTCTAATTCCAGCACCAGACTCTCGTGCATATTTATCTGTTCCTCCCTGGCCTCGGCTTGTAATTAGGACTCAGTGCATCCTGCCTTGGCAGTCAGTGACAGGGGACCCCAGTGTGCTCTGAGGCTGTCTTGGAGAGGGCAGGGAGTTGAACACCGAGGTGTTAGTCATCTGTAATTCTGTTCCCACACACAGAAGGGGAGCCAGGATTGTGGCAGACACACAGGAAACGCACCCTGCTGGCCTCGATCCCCCTGGGACAGGAAGCAGGTTCCATCACAGAAGTGTGTGGCACCAGAAAGCATAGGATGGTAGGTGCCCGTGTCTCCAGGGATGGCTGTCACGCTGTCCTGATGGCCCTCCCTGCCTGTCCTCACCTGCTCAGCAAATCGTAAGTGCATGGTACTTTTGCTTTTTAGACAGGGTGTTACAATGTAGTCCAGGCCGGTCTGAAGCTGGTAGAGATATTCCTGCTTCAGCCTCCCAAGTGCTGATGTTGTAGGCATGAGTCACCATGCCTGGCTCAAAATCCATTTTCTTTTGGTGCTAACCTGGAAATACGCATGACAATAGCCTCTGGGGTGTCCTTGGGACAGCCACTCCCCTACCTCACATCTGCTTCCTGAGCACTTACCCTGGAGCACACTGGGGCTGAGGGAATGACTGGTTGCAGGACCTGTCCCAGAGATACGGAGGTGACAGGAGAAGGATGCTTTTGCTTTTTTCTCCTCTAAAATCCCACTCCCCGAAGCCACAGAAGGAGACAGATATGGCAAGGACAGAGCTGAATTCTGGGAGGGGGCTGGAAAGCAAGAGCCCTTGAAATGGGCAGTGAGTAGTGTGCACAGCACAATGGCCATGGTGTCCCCTGGTCCCCAGGCTGAGGCATCAGAACAGAAGGGTCCAATATGTTCCAGAATATTCTCAAATATTCCAGAATGTTCCAGCATGTTCCACACTACTTCTGAATGTTCCAGAAACTATCCCTGGGCAGGCATCTCAGTTCAATTTGGGAGCAGAGTGGGAATGCCATCGCCATCCCTGTTAGACGGTCCTCCCAGCCAGCAATCTTGCTCTGGCCCACTCCCGGCTACTGTGCATTACCTACGCATTCCTCCACGGGAGAGGTTCTGAGTGGGCCTCCTCTGCACCCCAGTCCATGAGTGGCCATTTAAGCTTGCAATCCCTTGCCCTTGAGCAGTTCTGACTCACCTGGGACAGACATGACCAGGCTAATGTCTGTGGCACTGGGTGAAGATGGTGGCTGTGGGGAGGAAATCTTGGGAATGACAAGTGGCTCACTGTGCTGGGCCACAAGGAAGATGGGTTGCTGTCTCTGTGTTCTGCCTCTCTAATGACAAAGCACAGCCTGCCTGATTCACAAACAAGAGATGCTCATGCGGCTCATGGCTCCAGAGGCTGGTGATGCCTTGGTGGGAGATAGTACGCTGCCACCCTGGTGCTCCTGCCATGGAGCAGCTGGCCACAGAATGTACCTTCTGAGCCATGAGCCAGAGCCACCCCTCCTCCTGTGAGCTATGGGTGTCAAGTGTCTCTTCCTAGTCATTGGAAAGCTCAGAGACTGCTTGCCTTGTCTTTCCCTAAAGCTCTGCCTCAGCATGGTGATCTGGGGGTGAGTTTCCAACACATGAACTTTGGGGACACATCACATCCCAGCAGGAGGAGCCCCACAGGCCACAGGAGGGGGCAAGCCCAATGAGAGGGGCCTGCGGGCAGCTTAGCTCTGGGAAGAAAGAAGTACTAGGAACAGTGTCTGGCCTCAGGCTGGAAGGCCCTGGCCCTCCTGGAGATCCAGTCACAGCCAGGCCCTACAAGTGCCCCAGGTGGCCCAGGCCCTCCTGGCCTGGGAGCTGCGGGGGGCACCAGGAGCTGCTCTGTCACCTTGCACGGCTTCCTGTCTCCATACACAGCCTGTGCCCAAGCAGCTGTCTCAGAAGAGCCAAGGAAGCGTCGTGTCCCTTCGCACTGCTGCTGTGGAGTGCTGGAGTCCGGCCTCAGGTATCCACTGCAGTGCCTTTGTGTCCCCGGCTCTGCCTCACCGGGAGCTGGGAGTGCATCGTGCCCAACTCCTGGCCCCCTGCCAGGCTGAAAAGTAGCTCCGGTGAGTCTGAGGGGAGACAGCTAGCTTAGGAGTCAGAGGGAAGCTGGGAGCTTCCTGTCCTCACAATGCCACCACTACAAGGGCACTTTCACTCCCAGCACTCGAGAGGCTGAGGCAGGAGGATCACTGCGTCCCAGGCCCACTGAGGCCACACAGTGAATAATTCAAGGCTAGCCTGGACTACAAAGCAAGAGCCAGTCCCCAAACAAAACAAAATGAAAGATCACCAAATCTAGAAGTTTTGAGGTGAAAAAATGAAACAAAAAAACCTGACCAAAAATATCTCAATAATATCTAAATAAAACAACTATAATTTATTGGTGAAGAAATAAGATGGAGCTAAAATATTAGCTAAAATTAACATAAGATTGGGTCAGATGATTACAGCAAGACATACTAAATCTTTTGTATTTGAGACAGTGGGAGGAGGACAATAATTACTGCACTCAGAAGCTAGTTGAATATATATGTTAGCATTTTAAGGACAACCACTCAAAAAATGAAAGAATTAAAAAAAAAACTAGAGAAGGAAAATAGGTTATAACTTCTAAAATAACAGAGAGGAGAAATGGAGGTTTTTTTTTTTTTTTTTTTTTTTTTTTTTTTTTTTTTTTTTTTTTTTTTGTGGAACTGGGGATTAAACTCAGGCCCTTGGGCTTGCCAGACAAGTGCTTATTCTACTGAGCTATCTTCCTGGCCCCAGACATGGAGTTTTTGAAAAATTGTAGGGTAAAAAGAAAGTACAAAGTTAGATTGTAAAAAAAATGTTAAGGTATCAAAAATTATAATAAATATAAATGAACCACACTTATTAGTTGAGAGGCATGGTGGTGCATGCCTGTAATCCCAGCACTTGGGAGGCTGAGGCAGGAGGACTGCTGGCAGCTCAAGGCCAGCCTGTGCTACATGGTGAGTTCAAGGTCAGCCTAGACTATGCAGCAAGACTGTCTCAAAAAAAAAAAAAAAAAGCTGTCAATTCATTTTGTTTTGCTTTTTTAGACAACCTTATGCTGTTTACAAGAGCACACACTTAAACACATATGGACTCATTTAAAATAAACTCATGGAAAACAACATAGCAAATATTTACCAAGAGAAAACCAGAACAGCTATAGTAATCAAGGGTAAGGCCGGGAGTGGTGGTGCACTTCTGTAACCCCAGCACTCTGCAGGCTGAGGCAGGAGGATCGCCATGTGTTCGAGTTCAGGGCATCCTGGACTACACAGGGAGATCCTGTCTCATAAAATGAATGGAAGGAAGGGGGAGGGAAGGGGAAGGGGAAGGGGAGGGGAGGGGAGGTGAAGAGAGCAAGAGGGGAGGGAGAAGGAAAGGGAGGGAAGGGAAGGAAGGGTGGGAGAGAGAGAGGGCAGGGAGATGGGAAGGAAGGGGAAGGAAGGAGGGAGGGAAGGAAGGAAGGAAAGAAGGGAGGGAAGAAGCAGCCATAGCAACAAAGTAGCCAGCTGGCCCTGCTCATGCCCAAGGGCTGTTGCCCGGTCCAGTCCCAACCCCTTCACATCTATGGGCACACAGTTAGCGTTACCCACGTGGGTCCACGTCCGGGAGGCTCCTCGGGAGCTCAGTCTGCCCGGGCCACTGCTGGGCCTTCTCAGATCCTATTCGCTCCTGACTTGTATCGGAATTATCACAGCGACTCAAGCGGGATGGAGAGCTAATGCTTCCCCCTGCTGGCCGCGGTGTGCACTGCATCACGGGGGCCGGCTTCCCACTGCAGTTTAATTTGCACAGATATGGGGATGGCTTGGTGGCCCACGCTGTGTGCCAGCTCTCGCGAGGCTGAGGCAGGAGGAGGGCAGTCAATTCCAGATCAGCCTGACCTACACACTGAGACCCTGCCTCGACCCCCCCCCCCAAGATACACTTCTAATTAGAGCGTTGCGCTCCAGTCTCCCTGGAAGGCAGCGGCTGGTGCATAGAGCTGAACTCTGCAGGCCGCTGGGGGCTGCGTGGCTCCTGAAGAGTCCTGTCCCTGTGCAGGGACAGGGTCAGCCCCAGGGCCCCGGGGCCACCAGGTGGACTTGTGCACCAGCCAGCAAGTGTGGACAGGGTGCAATCCCAGTGATGAACCCTCGAGGCCCTGTGCAGCCACTTCAGGTTCTTGGCCTCAGTTTCCTCACCTGTACAATGGGTTAGGAAGGCCTGCTGTGGAGGATCACAGGATTGAAACCAGTTTAGACAACTTGGTGAGAATATAATAACAGAAACAGAAGGGCCGGCAAGATAGTTCAGCAGACTAAGCACCTGCTTAGGCAAGCGCAGGGACCAGGGTTGGATTCCTGGCACCACATGCTATGCCAGCCCTGCCCCTGTGCCACTGAGCTGGCCACCTAGACTGGGTGTGGTGGCACACACCTGTAATCCCAGCGCTGGGAAGGCTGAGAACAGGAGGATCACTATGAGTCTGAGCTGAGAAGGGAGACCCTGTACCAAATACATTAAAAAAATAAAGACAGTCTATCACACTGACTCACACTCGTGTTTGGAACAGCACAACTCATAATATCTACATCTTGGAAGCAGCCTATATGTCCACCAGCAGATGAGTGGAGAAAGAAAATGTGGTATTTACACACCATGGAGAACTACTCTGCCCTAAAGAAGGATCAACTTGAGTCCTGCGTGGGGGACCATAATGTCAAGTCGAGTAAATCATACAAGTTTAAATACCGCATGGCTTCTCTTACATGAGACCTGGGCTATAAATAAGGAGCAAAATGAAAGGGAGATAAGTAAGACACAGGGGCAGATCTTCTGCACCAGGGAAGGGGACGGAGGGAGAGGGGCTGAGCGCTCCCCAAACTGCAAACTGCACAGCGCTGCCGGCAGGGGCAGTACCAGCGGCCACAGGGCTCTGTGCAACTGACCCCGCCTACCTGTTCCCAGGGCGACGTCAACATCGCCGCAGCCGGGTGGCCCAGCCGAGCTCAGGGCTAGGGGACCCCGCACAACCGTGGCATGGGGGGCCGCCCCGCTCCTGGACTCCCGAGCACCACACCTGCCAGACCGCCTGTCTCGGTTTTCCGGACGCCACGGACGTCCCCAGGCGTGCAGGAGGACGCACTGTGGAGAGAGCTGGTGGAGGCGGAGCGGCGGGGTCAGCGGCGCTGGTAAGTGCTCTCCAAAACTGCTGTCCGACTTGGGGTTTAGGGGGAGCCTGGGTGGGAAATCCACGGTCTGGGGATAGGGTAGGGATGGGTGGATGGGCAGAGCAAGGGGCATAACCAGTTTTCTGTTTTATTTTGAGACAGGCTCTTGCTAAATTGTCCAGGCAGGGCTCAAACTTGCAACCCTCCTGCCCTGGCCTCCCAGCGTTCTGGGATGAGACACCTGGCTACAAAATCAATTCCAGTAGAAATTAAACTACCAGCACAGTGTGCGCTGCTCCTCACCCTCGACCCTGCCTCTAACCCACACCACAGTCCTGGGACATTACAAAGGCGTGGGGCCTTGAAAACCAGGTTTTCTTCACAGAGGGCGGGAAGTCTCCTCACAAGGCCTCTGGAGACATTTGGAGGCACAGGTGCGACTGGGCCACAGGTTTTCCTAGCGACAGCATCATGACCTGGTAGTGACCGCTGGCCACTGTACAGGACAATTCAATTATAAATGGTTTCAGTTGGGCATGGTGGCACACACCTGTGGTCCTGGCTGAGGCAGGAGGAACCCGGGTGTGAGCCTGCTCTGGGCAACTTAGTGACTCCATAAGATCTTGGGTTCAATCCTCAGTACTGCAAAATAAAATACAGAAGAAAGGATTAAGATTCACATGGCCAATGTATTTTTTCTTTCCAGGACTGAGAGCTGGGGTTTCCTGAAAGACTATGACCCCATGGTAAGGCAGCTGTTGTCTTGGCATGAATTTATGTGCTCTTTCCTTCCCTCAGTGGGGAGTATGGACTCAGCTCCACGCTGCACGGGTGCGTAGTTTTGCTTTAAGCAAGTCAGGGTCTGGTGGGAAAGAAAATATTTACACAAAACACTGAGAAACATTTTCTTCTTGTTTGTTGATCATATTGAGATGGAACAGCTGGGAATGACGGGCACTTGACGCTGGAATGTTTCCCTGGTGCGCAATGTGTGTGCCAAGGCCCCAGGGAAAACCAGCGTGGGTAAAAATACACCGGAAGTGAATTCTCTGGGTCTGATGGAAGCACCTCCTGTATGCAGCAAGCCTGGCCTCGACAGGAGCTTTTCTAAGCTGCAGAACTTGCTGGGTGTGGTGGCGCATGCCTGTGATCCCAGCACTGGAGAGGCTGAGGCCAGAGGACTGCTTTGAGTTCAAGGCCTGAACTGCATAGTAAGACCCTGTCTCCAAAGCCAACAAAAACCCAAAAGACAAAGCCAGAGAGGCCACCTGCTCTCGGCCACATCCTAGGGGTGCATGAAGCTGTGACTCTGATGTGTCCTCTTCTTAGGGCAACAAGAAGGAGCAGGAGCAGCTGCCGGAGCATGTGCCTCTCTTTTCGGACACGGTGCCCCACTCCAGCAGCCAGGTGGTGGGCAGCAGGCTGGCCACGCCGCTTGGTAGGGGCCTGGTCCACATGGACTTCGCATTCGTGGCAGGGACACGCAGGAACAGGCCAGGAGCCGGGCTGCAGCCGGCCTAGGACAGGGCATCTCCTGGGCAGGTAGGTCCAGGGGATGAGGGGACACAGAGCACCAGTCCAAACACCAGGCATGTGCCTGGGACCCCACCACTCAGAGACTGAGGCAGGAGGATCACCATGAGCTCACAGCCAGCCTGGACCACACAGTGAAAACAGAACAAAGCAACAAGAACCCCACTGACGCAGTCACTTCCCTCTTCCTCCATCCCCTCAGAAAGGCCCTTGGGCGAGGAACACGGCCAGTGCTTGTGACTGTTTTCTCTCGGCCCCAGGTGGGTCATGTTCAGCCTCACAGTTGGCCTGACAACTGCTTCATTCATCTTATTCCTCATGCCCCGCGGAGACCAGAACAGAGAGCCTAAGCCACACAGCCAGTGGGCAGTGGAGCTGGGCTTCAAATGGGTTCAGGGGCTCCCGGAGCCTCAGGCTCAAGCAGAGGCCCAGACCTGAGGCAGCTGAGGGCCAGACACTGACCCAACCTCAGGCAGCTGAGCTGTGATGATGGGGGTTCAGCTTAAAAGGTTGAGCTGTCTCTTTTTGGCTGCACTTCAAATTGAACCCAGGGCCTTTCCCCTGAGCTCCACCCTCAGCCCTCTTTTGAGATCAGATCTCTCTTACTCAGTAACCCAGGCTGTGCTGGAACTTGGGATCCTCCTGCCTCAGCCGCCCTGAGTGCAGGGATGAAGGTCTCCCGCTCCTACAATGCCAGGGACCTGCCGACCCCATTCTGGCTCCAGGACTGTCTGTGGGGCTGGGCTGACTTGGGCTGCAGCTGTAGGCTGGGAGGGGACCTGGCCTGCATGTGTTGGCATCAGGGTGGCTGCAAGACCCTGTGTGACCTCCTCCAACAGGACTCAGCTCTGCCCTTCGTGTCCCCACTGGAGCCAGGGGATCCCGACTGAGGACCTGCCTAGGATCTGGGTGCCATCCTCTTACCCCTCTGGGTCAAAGGGGGCCAGGTGATGCCGCTAATCCTAGTCCTCCAGGAGGCTGAGGCAGAAGGATCAAAAGTTCTAGGTCGGCCTTGAATTTAGTAAGACCCTGTGTCAAAATTAATGTATGTATCAGCTCCACACAATGAATGTGATCATTATGTATTGCATACACGGGCTAATAAAAAATTAAGAACAATAAATAAAAAGGGCTGGAGATTATCTCAGTGCAAAGACTCAAGCCAGTTTCCTTCTGCAAAATCCCAACAGAATGGGCCGTCCTTCCGCGAAAAGTATCCTTCTGCTTTCTAATCTCCCTCACCTCGCTCTCTAATCTCCCTCACCCCGCTCTCTAATCTCCCTCACCCCAACACTTCAGTGGGATCCGAACCCGCGCAATCTGAGGCAATGAGAAAAGTGCCTCAGCCGCGAGCGGAACTGGGCGGGGCGGGGCCGTTGGGCGCACATGGGCGGGGTGAAGGTGGGCGGATGGGCTCGGGGCGGGGCCAGGGAAGGGGCGGAACTACCCAGGGGCGGGTCAAGTAGGGGCGGGACAGATCTGAAGCAGGCGAATAGGCGAGCGGAATGAGTGCATGGGCGGTGCGATCACATGGGTGGGGCCGTGGGCGGTGCGCGGGAAGACGGAAGGCCTCGGCTCTGGCCACCCTCTGCCTGCTCGCTATGGAGGCTGCGCTGCTGTGGTTCTGCAACTGGAGCACCCTGACTGTATGCGCCGCGCTCAAGCTGCCGCAGATCCATGCCCAACTGGCGGCACGCAGCGCGCGGGGTGTCAGTCTCTCCAGCTTGCTGCTGGAGCTGGCGGGGTGAGCTCCCTGGCGGCCGAGGGGAAAAGGGTCACCCAGGGCGGGGCGGCCCCAGGAGCTGGACCCGGGCGCTTGCGGGCCGCGCCCATCGTATTTACTGCTCCGGGCGGAGCCTGGACATTTTTATTTTGAGAAGGTTGCCCAGGGCTGGGCTCGAATTTGCGATCCTCCTGCCACAACCTCCTGTGTGCGCCACCACCCCGTGACACGTGCACCTCGAGCCCCACTTTGCTCCTGTAAACCTCTTTACCGGCCATACACCCTCCCTGGTAAGGGAAGTATTTGGGGGCTTGGACAATGTCGAGATTAGGAGAGGAGACAGAGATAACGAGACTGCTGCAGGTGCGGGGTGATCTGCCCGAAATCCGGCTGGGATTCCCTACTCAGAGCCTAAGAACAGAAACGCAGCAGGATTGGGAGTGCAGGGCTGTCATCCCAGCACTCTGAAAGGCTGAAGCTGGAGGATTGCAAATTCCTCCCACAAGTCTGAGCCCACTCTGGGCAATTTAGTAACTTAATGAGACTCAGCCACAAAATAAGGAACTGGAGGCAAAGCTTACTGCAAAGGTCCAGGGAGGGGTGGAAGTGGTTCCGGGGAGGGCGTGGGGAGCCGGGTGTGGCGTTGGCAAGCGTCCACACGCAGCGTGGAAATCTGAGCCTGCGGGCTACAGGATGAGAGGGGGCTGAGTTTCAGCCGCTCCACCTGCTCGACCAGCGTCCACAGAGGCCGTTCTCGGCTGCGTCGGGCCACCTTCCCTGTGAAGCCATTTGGAGATTGGGGTGGCAGCCGCTAGGCGCTGAGACCCGGCAGCACTTGACCCCAGCCCTGCCGGGCCGGTTGAGCGCCCCCTTGGAGCCCTCACCTTTTTCTTTCTTTCTCCCCTCCCCTCCCTTCCTCTCCCCTCCCCTCCCCTTTCCTTTCCTCTTTCTTTTGGCCTGGAGCCCAGACAGCAGCCTTGGGGGCAGGGACTCCCCTAGCTCTGTGCAAAGTCACTCTAAAAGTCTCACTAAATTGCCCACGCTGGGCTCAAGCAGGATCTTCCTGCTTCAGCCTCATGAAGTGCCTGGGTGACAAGTATGGGCGACCACATTCCACCCAGCTAGCAGATCAGGGCACAATCATGCTGCCACACCCAGCAGCTGGTGGACATACCCTAATGCTGCAGGCCGCTGAGGTGACATTTCATCTGATTTTCCATGTCTTCGTCTTGAACCCTAGGCTCTAGGACTTGGCACAGATGCCAGCCTTGGGGCTGACTGGGTGCAGCGGGCTGTGACTGTGTGCCTTCCCTGTTCCCAGGTTTCTGGTCTGCCTCCGCTACCAGTATTACTACGGCAGCCCGGTGCTCACCTACCTGGAGTACCCCATCCTCATTGTGCAAGGTAGCTGCCCTTGCACACCCATTGTGCCTCACACCCCTGCTGCTCCCTGAGGCTCCCCTTCGTCCTTTCACCGCAGCCTTTCTTCCAGATGTCGTCCTCCTGCTCTGTGTCTTTCATTTTAATGGGGACATGAAACAAGCTGCACCGTACCTGGCTGTGTATCCTTTAAACATCTGAGAATCTGAATGGGATTGGAGAGATCAGGCCAGGTGGCTTAGTGGTGGAGCCCATGGTTGAGGCCTAGATTCCATCCCCAGGTCAACACACACACACACATGCACACACACACGCCCCAGCCATGATGTTGAACACCTACAATCCTAGTGCTCTGGAGGCTGAGGCAGGAGGAATACTGAGAGTTTGAGGCCAACCTGCGGGTCAAAAAACCAAAAAATAAACCAACAGCCAGAAAAGCATCCCCAGTTCTCCCCTTGGCTTAGCTGTTACCTTTGTGGTCCAGGTTCTTCTATAGAGGTGGGTGGATGGCAGGGCGGCCAAAGACCCTCAGCTGTGTCCTTAGCCTTGGGTGAGATTTGCGGCCTCCTGGTTCGTCCTTGGGCTGCACCAGGGTGTCATCGACGTGGCCATGGTGAGTGATGAACCCTCCCGCATGCATGGCCCCTGCTCACCCTGCCTGCCCTTGACTTCAGATCTGCCCGCCGAGCCACATCCCCAGTCCTTTTCCATTTGTTTTGAGACAGAATTTTGCTAAATGGCTGAGGGTGGTCTTGAACTCGGGGTTCTCCTGCCTCAGCCTCCTACAGTGCCAAAAGTATGGACTTTTTGAACTTCCAGGGTCCCTCCATCCACACCTACCCACCTGCTTTCCTGGCCAGCATCACATGTCCGAAAGTCACCGCCCTCCCTTCTCTCACACCCTACCTGCTCCTGTGCTTTTCTTGTCCTCAGACTTCCTGCCGGCCCACAGGGGCGTGGACCAGCCCTGACTGCTCTCTTACCACCTGGCTGCCCTGGCTTAGTGCAACCTTAGCTCCCCATGTCTCCAGCCCACCCCATTCTCTGCCACTGCCCTCAGCAGCTCTGCTCTGCAGATGGCTGCAGGGCACACTCAGTGCGGCATGCGTGGGGCTGGAGGACTCATAGTCAGGGAGCCTGCTGTTCCAGTGCTGTGCCCACCATGCTGAGTGCTGTTGGTCGGTTCAGGCAGCCTGGGTTCCCAGACTTGGGAGCCTAGGAGCCCGGGCTATACTTTGGGGGACAGAGCTGTGGTTAGTCAAGACTTTGCCATGGTGTGGGGATCGCCTTTGCTTCCTGGAGGACTTCTGGGCTACAGGAAACCTCTCACAGTGACATTTGAGCCCCTACCAAACAGGTTTCAGTCTTGTGCAGACTGGTGATCACTTGGCCTGAAAATTTACCTTCATAAGCACTGTGAATAGTAGGGTGTGGTGGTATACAGCCATAACCCCAGCACTCAGGAGGCTGAGGCAGGATGATTGCCAAGAGTCGGAGGCCAGCTTGGGCTACATAGGAGAGACCTTGTCTCTAAAAACAAAACTGAACAGCACTGTGACTATCTGCAGCTCTTTGGCTTTTTTTTTTTTTTTTTTTTGAGATGGTCTCGCTATGCAGTTTGGGCTGGCCCTGTGCTCACTTTTGTAGCACCTAGGCTGGTCTTGAACTCACAGTGATCCTCCTGTCTCAACCTCCCAAGTGCTGGGATTACAAGCGTGTGCCACCCTGCCCGGTTCTCTTTGGCTTTTTAACGAATGGATTTGGGGCTTTCTTATCTGCAAACAGAACTTGTGCACGTTGGTCAGTGCGGCCAGCAAGCTGGCCCAGCTCCAGTACCTGTGGAAGGCGCAGGACTCGGGCACTGCCAGTGCGCTCACCTGGGGCCTCTCCGCCTACACCAGTGCAGGTGAGGATGCACCCTGGCTTGTGGCCTTGGCCACTTGGTCTCCCTGGAAGCTGATGAACTATGTGTCTAAGCATTTCTGTCCTTTGGGCTTTGGCATTCTACACGTAGCTATTCAGCTAGAACCTGCTAACCAGGAGTGTCCATATTTAAAAGGTGGGCTCAGCTGGACATGGTGGTGCATGCATTCCTGTAATGACAGCGCTAGGGAGGCTGAGGTAGGAGGATTGCTGTGAGTTGGAGGCCAGCCTGGGCTACACAGCAAGACCCTGTCTCAAAAACCAGAAACAAAACACAGTTTTAAATTAGTGGGGGCTGGAGGCTTGTGGGTTAGCTCAATTGTTTAAAGCACCTGCTTGGGCAAACTCAGGTGCAGGGGACCTCGGTTTGATCCCTAGCTCCACATGCCACACCAGACCCACCCTTAAGGCAGCCTGAGACAGCCCCGCCGCCAAAAAAAAATCCTTAAATTAGTGGCGGCCTTTTCTGAGGCTACTGGATCATTTCCAAGTGAAATTTGGTGGTTGCTTTTTGAGGTTGGGTTGTGGGTCTCCAGGTGGTCATGAACTATAAGACTGCTTCATGTTCTAACCCATGTACACCTTGCAGGAACTGTCAGCACCACACAGTGTATTTAAAGATACTGGCTGAACACCAAATTGTCTGCAAAGCAAGTTATTTATGCTGCCACTTTTCTTTTTCAGCAAGAATAGTAACAACTTTCATGACCACTGGCGATCTGACAGGTAAGCGGCGCTTTTCCTCTGCTCTCTTGGCTGTGGCACTGGTTGAGCCTCCTTGGAGTGCAGACTGTCTTAAAGGTTTTTTTTTTTTTTCCTTTTTTTCTCTGAATGCCTTCAGGGCAGGTTTGGCTAGCTGGAGTTGTGGGGATCGAACCACAGCAACCTGAGCCTGACTGCTTTGTTGAAGCAGCCACTTAAAGAACTGAGCTAAGGGGCAGGCTCCCGTGTCTTACGGTTTAATAGGTTGCCTCAACTTGTTTCCATTATGGACTAGAAGAAATTGGCTGCTCCACACCATCACCAAGCGTGAGGCTTTGCCTCTTGTAGGTCTTGCCATAGAGGAGCACAAGTGGGGGCCCACCTTGGGGAGGTTCATTCGCTTCAGCAATGCAAATAGTGGCCTCCCACTCATTGTGTAGCCCAGTCTGACCTGGAGCTCAAAGCAGTCCTCCTGCCTCAGCCTTCCTAGTGCTGGGATCACAGGTGCATGGCACCACACGAGGCTGAGCCTTTTCAACTCTCAAATGGAGAGTGCTCTATGAACCCGAGGAAGACGGTTAGGATAGAGGCAGCTCTGTGTTTGCTGATTTCAGTGAAGACCAGAAAGTGTCCCCAGTATGCAGACTCTGGCAGGAAGATACTTACTCTGAGAAATGCAGCTTCAGAATGGGAGCCACGTCTGCTAGGCGGTCTCAGAGGCTTTTATTGGGCCCCAATACAGTATTTTCTGCCAACTCTGATTATAGGATTAAAGTCAGCCTACTGAAGCATAAATTTTATTGTGGTGGAGAACAGGAGAGGAGATGGCCTGGGTCTGTCTTCTCTGCTGATTCAAGAATCCCCAGCAGGGTGCGAGTCAGACCAGCACTATCCCTACAACAAACTCGCACGAAAAATCCCGTGAGCGGGAATGCTCAGTGGCACGTGTGCTCCGGGCCGCTGCTCCCGGAAGTGAGCAGTGTGCGAGGGTGAACTTCAACAGCAGAGTAGCCGTGGTGTAAGGCTCAGTGTCACGTCCTATTTGTGCCGCTTTTCCATGGGTCCCTGTTCCACAGCTCTTCCTGGTCACTCCCTTAGGAAACAGGCTCGGACAGCAGCCTGTTCTTCAGATGGACCCTGATGTCAGGGTGTCTTGCACTGCTGTGTGCACAGAGTGGTCCACGCTGAGACTCGCAGTGAGCACAGGGACTGCAGGTCCTCCGGTCAGAGCCAGCACTCCGCAGTGTTCTTCAGGAAGTCACGCTAGTGCAGGAAGATCATTTCTGCAGAGCAGCCGACCTGTACTTGGAGTTACTCCAGGGCCTGTCGACAAGCCTTTCTTTGGACTTGTTTACAAGGAGGAAACATCCACCCAGAGTGTGAAAGGTCTTAATGCCCACACTTGCTTTTTTCTGTTGCAGTTCTTACTCGCTTTGTGATCATGCTAGCCTTAAACATCTGGGTGACAGGGACAGTGCTGCGCTACAGAAAACCTCGCTCCAAGGCTGAGTGACAACCACATCACCGCTGCTCCAGGAAGGACGGACTGGGGTGACTGAGCTCTGGAGAGCAGTACCCACAGCTTTGCTGAGGGCTCCTACAGATCTAGTCACTAACTCCAGAATTTTAAATCCAGAGGTTTCACGGACTTGCAAGACCTCCTTAAACATGAGCTGTAAAGGCCACTTTCCCTCCCTCCCTCCACTCCTCCAGGTCTCGCAGGGCTTGGAAACAGCTTCTGTGGCATCCTGGTGCCCACGGACCCTTCCCTTTGCACTCCGTGGCCCAGGCCACCTGCAACACTCTGTAGCCTCTGGAGGTTTTAAGAGTCTCCCCATGACCCTGACGGAACAAGACACAGTCAGAAGCAGAGCTGTGGCCAACAGATAAGGCTTACTCTGGGGACTGTGTGCAGCATGCGGGCATGGAGGGATATAAGTCCTGGGTCTGGGGTGCAAAGTGCCCTCATTCACGCATGCCTTGGAGGGTTCAGAGTAGCTGTTGCTAAATTCTGTTCTTCTTTTACTATTTTGTTGTTTTAGGAAATTTTGTTTTCATATAGTATCCAAAATAATAGGAATTCCCAAGGCAGGTACTGTGAGACGCACTCACTCGCTGTAGGGGCAACATCTCTACAGCCTTCCTCGGGGGCAGAGCCATGTGAGGGCAGCCACCACCCATTTGGCTTTCATTGGATTTGGTGCCACTGGCTTTAGCTCTCGAGAATATACAGGTTCTACTGTCTTCAATAGTATCTCATCCTAAATATGCTAAGGCTGTTGAATATTGAAATTTTAACATTCAACTTCAGAGGATCTGCTATATGCAGGAATTAAACTGGATTTGAACATATTTTTCTCATATAAAATAAACTTTCATAGTTTGAATTCTGAATCTTGAGGGTGTCATTATTTTAAATTATGTGGGCCAGGGACATACTTGGTGGCATAAGTGCCTGTCTGGCAAGTACAAGGTCCTGAGTTCAATCCCTGGTACAAAAAAGAAAAAAGAAAAGTATGTTTCTCAATAAACTAGTTGATTTAAAAAAAAAAATTAGTCTTTATTTATTTGGTACAGGGTCTTACTCTACAGCTCAGATGTGCAGTGATCCCACTTCAGCTTCCCTAGTGCTGGGATTACTAGCAAGTGCCACCACGCCTAGTGTTGGGGCTGGCACAGTGTGCCCAGGGTTCTGGGGCCAGCTTGGCATGTGGTACTGGGGATAGAACCTGGGGACCAAACCCAGGTCTTTGTGTTTGCCAGGCAGGGACTTAAGACTGCCAAGCTATCTCCCCAGCCCTAAACTGGTTAATTTTTTAGAACTATTTCTTGGGACAAACAGGAAGAGAAACTCAGTGCCTAAAAATAAATTACTCATTTTATGTAATTACTTCAATCATAGCTGACATTTTATTTATTTTTAATTTTTTGGGGGGGCAGAACTGGGGATTGAACTCAGGCCCTTGCGCTAGCCAGGGAAGCACTTATTCCACTGAGCCATCTCCCCAGCCCCATAGCTGACATTTTAAAAAACCCAAGTTAGCTTTTTCTCATAAATGCTTAGAAAATGTCCGTTAATATAAAGATTGTGATTTGTAGTCCAACAAATGTTTTATGTACCTGTACTGTACAGTTTAGGGACATACTTAGCTGAGGCATTTCCTGTTTGCCCTTTGAACATTTCAAATGCAGCGCAGCCCCCCCCCCCCCTATGGCAGAAACCCTGTGGCCAGAGTCTGCCTGGGAGCAGATCCTAGAAACCAGTGCTGGCCTTCTATACCATCCTTGCCAACTCCAGGGGCATTTTTAGGTTTGCAATCTTTCAATGCCTAGGCTCCTGGCTGAAACTCACAGTTCTGCCTGAGTTACGTGATAAGACAGGAAGTCAGAAGTCTAGAGTCACAAAACTCTAACCCATCTTTTTTTTGTTTTTTGGAGACAGGGTCTCACAATGTAATGCAGGCTGGTCTTAAAGTCAGTATGGACCCCAAGCTGACCTCAATCTCAGCTATCCTCCTGTCTCAGCCTCCCGAGTGCTGAGATTATAGGAGTGTGCCACCCCACCTGGCTATTTATCCCATTATTTCTTTCACAGAAGACAGTTTTTGGTACTCTTGTGAAAGTTGCAGCATTATAAGACTATTTCACAAGAAAAGTATAAAAATATTTATATCAATTTCTTTTATTGATTTTTTTTTATAAAAAGCAGGCATAAAATACAATTACATTACTACAAAGATGCAACAAAATTTTTTAAAAAAGAAAAATCAATGGAGGATGATTTTTGTTCAGGGGACAGCTGATATAATACTAATGATCTCAACCATGCAGTTCCTAACTTATACAATTCCAAATGAAAGTCATGGACAGGGTCAAGGCCAGGCCCTGGGCACATGCCCAGCACTGTCACAGAGTGCCCTCCCTCAAAGTGCTTTAGGTTGATGGGATCAGGGCTGGGGATCCCTCTGGAAACCTGAGCGCCTCACTCTCGCCCAGTGGAGACAGGGAACTTAAAGCATCTCCTGGGAGGCTTCCGAGGGCCTAGGTTTCTCTCACCCTCTGAATCCCATCAAGAAGGTTAAGGAGGGCAGCAGAACTCCTTCCACTGTAGTTTGGCAAGCTGGAGTGTTTCTGCTTAGGGGCTAGAGATAAACGGATACCAAGTAGGTCTTTCAGGGCCAGGTTCATACGAAACCAGCACAAGTTAGTTAAAAGCACTAACCGTTAACTTAGGGCCATCAGCACAGTGATCCATTAGAGCATTTTAAACTTTCAGATAAATTTTATTTTCTTAAAAAAATCTTGCTTCTAGATAGCATGTTTTAAAAAATATTTTAAAAAATTCATTACACATTAACTTTCAACAGTAATACCAGCACTAGTTTTCCTTCTTTTGTCCTGCTATCCCCATAAAAGTAAAAAGCCAACTGAGAAAAGCCCAGTATTCACTATTTCTGAGTTCCAATAGGAGGTATTCATGGCCTGAAGAATCAGGTGTGGGAGTATAAATATTTCTCTTGAAGTCTTGGGGCCTAAGGAAAACTGGCACAAAAATGGGCTGCTTCATATTAGGGGACAGGGGCAGCACTGGCTTGGGTCAGGACTATATTAGCGCTCCTGCAAATAACAGATCCCCTGCCCCCCAGTGACCTTCCTTGGAGCATCCTCACCTCTCAGTGTCTTTCCCTATACCCTTCACATTAGTTTTCCTTGTACAGTTGTGTCACACCACAATTCTCCAT